TGGCGGGGGTCTGTAGAACCGCTTTGATCATTTTCGGCCACTTGATTGAGATGGTGTCAGGCTTGGGATTCAATCCTGCTTTGCTATGCCCGGAAGCCCACATACCAGAGGCTAAACTGGCTAAACCCTCATCCCCACCCCATCCCTCCCCAAAGCAGCGGCCTAAATCACGGAGATGTTGGTGTTTGGCAAGACAGGCTGTTTCTTCAGAGCTGACAGCTGCGGCAACAACTGATGGATTGATCTACACTTCGGCTGGGGATTCAGTGTTCAGGTTTTGGAGTTGGATAGTTTCGGGGATTAGGGTCCGGGACGTGGTCGATTTTTGCCTTCAGGCAAACGAAGCCGGAAGCCCTCAACCCGATGCCTCAAAGCGAAGCACCGACTGTAGGGGTCTTAATGTCTTGGGCTCCTTTATAATACAGAGCATAATAGGGAATGATAAGGAATAGCACTGGGCATGACTTAGGCTTCTGTTTTGGACGGTTTTAAGGAAAGAATATCCGCTCCCAGACCGGTAGACCCCGAACGTCGAAGGGCAAGCCATTGAAGAAACAAGACAAGAGGTAACCCCAAGCTGTCTTTATCATCTCTCCAGGTTTAGGGTGTAGGTTTAAGGCTTAGGCTTTAGGGCTTAGAGTTTAGGATTTAGCGGTTTAAGGTTTAGGTTTTAGGGCTCTGCTTCCAGAGTGGAGGGTCCCCCCAAATGTTTCAACCATGGGTCATAGCCTTGACTCGTCGTAAGTAGATTGCGAATACTTGGGATTACCCAGAGAGCCACACGCCCATAATAACATCATGTACCTCTCGAATCATGGAGGGTTTCATAACGTGATCTGAAGTGCATGTCTTGATTCAGGGCTGTTCAACCTCTCATAAACCCGTTTCAAACACCGAGTATGCTCCTGAGTCCAGAGGTACTGGGCTCTCTGCGTGAAGGATTCAGGCTCCACACTCCGAAATGACTCAGGCTTCTTTGCCGCTTGGCTAAACCCTGAGCCCTGAAGCCGCAACAATCAGCCGGGAGGGCCGACTGACCTCAGTCACAGACAGCTTGGGTTTAGGGTCTAGGCTTTAGGGTTTGGGGCTTCAGGGTTTAGGGTTTAGGGTTTAGGGTTTAGGGTTCAGAGCTTCAGGGTTTAGGGTTTTGGGTTTAGGGTTTAGGGCTTCAGGGTTTAGGGTTTAGGGTTTCGGGTTCAGGGCTTAGGGTTGGGGCAGCTGCCGGCTTCCAGGAGTTGGTGCTTCCTGTGAGGGCCTTAATATTTACCAAAACTATTTTTTGGGGGGTCGGTTCCTTATTATAACTATAGTAGAATGGGCCCCAAAACCTATTCT